AATTTTTTTAAAATTTATTTTTAAATGGTTTTAAATAGTGCGTATATGCAACAACTTCTACAATTTGAGTACAATATTATCTCATACAAGGTTTCATCTATTAATATTGTTTTTCTTATGGAGTAAACTCCACTAGGCAAATCATTGTTGCCCATTCGATACATTATTCGTATTTCCAGTATATTTTTTTTTTAAATTCTTTTTTACACATTTTTTTTATTCATTCATTATGTATATACATTTACATTCATCAACACAATACAAGTATTCTAAGAATTGCTGTTACCTATGAAAGAAGAGTACATGTTTCTGAACATTTATTGCGTAAATAGATATATAAATTTGCTAAATGTATAAAGATGATTTTTTACGTACGGTATAGCTACTTGTCTTAATTAATAATGACATCATTTTTATGGTAATATGGTACGTCGGACATTGTTATTTTTTGATAATTAACAATTTTCTAAATAGTTTCATTCTCACATACAATTCAGAATCGAGCAGTGCTTTTAATTATTAAATTTTATCCACTGCTGCTTTGATAACGGCAGCTTCGTATAGGCAAAAACAAGAAACTGTGTAAATATGGTTAACATAATTGTTATCAGTACCTAGCACAATATCATTAAAAGTTGCAGTATATCCAAACTCTGGTTTAATCATTCTGTCTATTTCATTCCAGACATATTTTGCATTTACACAACCCCAAAAGAGATGATAATCATCTTCTTTAATATTCGGATTACAAAATAAGCAGCAGTCATTGTCGGAGAGTTTCCATTTAAAAAGACGTGAACGTGTGGTTATTGTACAATGCATTAATTTGTAATTAAAATTTGCAAGCTTTTTCTCAACAATGTTTTTTACCTTTTCATTTCCCAATGAATATCTGGAATATTTAGGAGGCGTTCCCATTTAGATTGGATTTTACGAGGTTTTTCCGAGAAACATTTTACAATGCACTTATAAATATTTTTTGTATTCATTAAATATGAACATTCAATATTATTTTTGCCACAGGTTTCAGTCTTGTTGGAGATCTCAATTAATAACTTCCATGCATGTGGTATAGCTGATTGCACTCTTTTCCAGTCAGATATCCAATTATGCCTTGATTGTAATTTTTCAACGATTTCATCAGCTTTTAAAAATCTATTACCCTTAACAATATCACTTATTTCGACAAAACCTGATATAACCCAGGATTTGAAGAATAAAGACTTTTTATTTAATACCACATTTTTATTCATCCATATTACTTGATCACATATATCTTCATAAGTATCACAATTTTGTGAACTAGATTTATTTAACATGCATAGTGACCTTAAGATATTTCGGTAAAATGTTGGCACTTTTGTATTAATTGTATTATATAAGTCATTTATATTAGTTACTTTTGTGAAAATGTCTTTAGATCCCAATTGTTCTAGATAGTAAAGCGGTATTTGCTTCCATCTTTCTTGTGTTTTTATTCAATAATTTTTTAAACCAAGTAATATGTAATGACATAATCCTTGCTTCTAGGCATGGCATTTTCATCCCTCCGTTCTTAATCTCCTCATATAATATACTCCTTTTTATCTTTTCACTACCTTCCCAGATAAAATCAAATATGGTTTTCTTTACTTTTTTTATTATGTGTTGTGGAGTTTCAATTATACTTGCTAAGTAGGTCAATTTCGATAATGCTAATGTATTTAAAATACAAATTTTACCGCTCATGGTCAAATTTCTCTTTTTCCATTGTTCAAGCTCATTTTCGAGCTGTATTACTCTTTCATCCCAATTTGTTTGAGTGCAAAGACTTTTGTTATACCCAATGTATACTCCTAGTATTTTGAAAGAATCTCTCCATTGAATATTTCCTGGTTGCTCTTTCTTATTTATCCATGTTCCGAGCCACATTGCATTTGTTTTTTGTTTATTTAATTTCAATTTTGCTATATTACAAAATTCATCTACTGTTTGCAGACTTCGATCAATGCTCTTAAATGTACTGACGAACAATACTGTACTGACGAACAATACTGTATCGTCTGCTAAGTGGGCTATTTTTACTTCATGTTCGTTATCTTTATTTATTTTTGGGAGTTTAATTCCTTTAATATTGTTATTTTTACGGATTTTAGTAGCCATAATTTCTGCTATAATGATGCAGACAGAGGACATCCTTGTCTAATTCCCCGTTGCATAATAGATTTTTCGGACATCCAACCGTTATTAATTACACAGCGTTCAGTATTTGCATATAATGTTTGTATCCAGCTAACAAAAGAATCGCCGAAATCGTATTTTTTTTAAACTGAAATCATGAACCTCCTACTTACGCTGTCAAAAGCTTTCTGGAAATCTAATGAAATCAGTGCACCTTCAGCTTTGGTAGAGCATGTATATTCCATTAGGTCTTCGATTAATCGAATATTTTCTCCTCCGAAGCGCCCTTTAATATATCCTTTTTGGTCTGTATCTACTATTGATTTAATTACTTCTTGTACTCTGTTAGCTAGGCAGATGGCCGTTATCTTGTAATCTAGATTTAATAGTGTTATAGGTCTGTAGTTATTCAAGTCATATTTATCACCTTTTTTAAAGATTAAATTAATAACTCCCAGTCTCTGTGAAAGCGACATCATGTTATGATTGGCATGGGCATAATTTATTGCTTCACATAATAAGTTACTTATCTCATTCCAGAAAAAACAGTAAAATCGCTTCCGGGTGATTTTCTTTTTTTCATACAATTTAGCGCCTTACAACATTCTTCTAATGTGATATCTCCTTCGCATATTTGTTTTTCGTCTTCACTAAGCTTGGTAGTGTCATTTGGATTGAGATATTCATCAATTTGATGTCTTGTAGGCTCCTCTATTTTATAAATATTTGAAAGGAATTTTACTTCTTCTGCAAGGATGTCAAACGGTTTATTTAACTCAACACCGTTAGAGTTTTTTTTATTTTAGTTATTTGTTTGTTTTTACCTCTCGATTTTTCTAGTCCAAGAAAATATCTAGTGTTTTTCTCCCCTTGGTCTATCCATTTAATTTTTGCTCGTATTTGAGCTCCTGTTGCCTGTTTATGATAGTATTTTTCAAGGTCTTTCGTTTTTATTTCAATTTCTTTTTCAATGTTTTCACTATGCTGAGATATAAGTTTTTCATTGAGAATTTTTCTTTTTTCCATAGGACATCGAAAATTCTTTTATTTTAATTTTAGTTAACTCCCATTTACATATAGGATCTAAGCTGATGTCGCTTTTAGATTTTTCGATTATTTTTTTTAACTTTGTTAACATATTCTTGATCAGAGACATGTTCGCAGTTAAACTTCCATAAGCCTGGTCCCCGTTTTTCTTTACGCAATGAAATTTTTAGTGATACCGCTTGGTGGTCTGTTAGAATTGCTGGTCTAATGTCACAAGATATTATATCATTACTATTAAGAAACTCCTCTGGTATTAAGAAATAATAATAATAAATAATAACTAATAATTATTATTACTATCCTCATTACGATCACCACCGTCGCCACTACCGTCGTCATTAATACTAATAATAATAACATAACAACCACAATAATAACAATAGCAGTAACAATAACAATAATAGCAACAATAATAACAATAATGATAACAATAATCGTAATCATTGTCATAGCAGTCGTCATTCGGTCAATAAAATCGATAAACATAATATTTCTATAGATATACTAGTAAGCTATGATGATTATTGTTGTACATTAATAAATATGATAATGCCTAGGTAATGATTTGATATTAAGCATTATTAACTAACATTGTAGACATAGGCTGTATGCACATTGTTTGTGTGCGTATCAATTCATTTATTTTTCTTTGTTTTCTTACTTTTACTTGACTTTCTTCTTCTCTTTGATCCAGGCATTCCAGGGGATATTTCATTCGCATCTTCTTTCAAGTCCTCCATATCTTTTGAGTTCATTCTTTCTTGTTCCTTGGATTTAGTAGTGTCCGTAGGTGTCTGCTTCATGAACTGTGTTATTTTCCCTTGTTTCTTTTCATTTCTCTCTTTTGTTTGATTTTCTTTCTTATCATAACCCTCATCGTCTTCCTCTTCGGTTTCCTCATCGCTGGAATCGGAGCCGTTACTATTTGTGTCTGCATCCCTTTTTTCTATTACTCGCTCCCACATTTCTTGTATTAGTATCTCGCCTGAATTATCGTGAAGCAGTTTCTCAGTGCTACACTGATCTTTTCTATGACCTTCTAGGTCACATGCATGACATATCAGTTTATTATTGCATGTTTTGGCGTTGTGTCCGCTTTGTAGACATTTCGAGCATTTCAAGCGATCATCTACCTGACCGTCATGAAAAATTCTGGCTTTGAAGTTATTTATACTCATGAACCTAGGCAACGGTATGTTGATGTTATCTGAGTATAGCACTCGGTCTCCGTTCAAACAGCTTGTTAACTGTCCGTCAACTCTAAGCTTCATATGTTGAATATTACCGGTTACTTTACAAGTAAACTTTGAAAAAGCAATTATGATTTCTTCATCCGAAACGGATAGTGGCAGATCTTTGACCGTAATCCGTGTTACGTTGGAATCGTAGCCGGATAGATCCGGGTTTTTATCATATACCTGACCAGCTTTGTTAACGCTTTGTAGATTTCCTGTGGCTCAATATATGGATCTCCCTTTGTATTCGCCTCATCCACTGTCATGAAAACCGGTTTTACCTTGATCGTATCGGTCTTGTTTGGCGCGTCGGTGTTCACATGATCATTTGGCGGGGCATTCAAAGGCGTTGACATCCTTGTTTTTTTTTTTTCCAAAATCAGACTGTAGTTTAAGAAAAAATTAGTACTTTGGTTACTGTATTTTACTTTAGTACAAAAGAATCTTCCAAATATACATTCGTGTGTGCAAAACCGTTATTAATCTTTGTTTTTCGATATTTTTATCAGGAGCTGGTATAATATACGTCCGTGGACAATGGTATACCAGGCTGAATCCTTTTATTGTTGCCAACGTGACTAATTCTTGTGTAGTAGAGTCTAAATTTCATAGTCGCTGCAAAACACAGGCTTAATTATCTAAGAATTTAGGTTGCCCGTTGGGACCTACCCTTTTAAATTTGAGTTGATCGACGTAAATTTTTGGTTGCTGGGGGATGTCAGGCACCCGATTCTGTGAGCCATGGATAGTTTAAATTTTCTATAATTATACATGTGAATATGAATGTGACTGTGAACTAACTAAAAATCAAAACAATTAAGCATTTAATTAATTAATATTAAGTTTATTATCTGGTACGTTATATTACTGCACTAATTGCAAGAATTTACTAAATAATTAAAACTGCTAAGAAAGAATTCATTGAATTTTTCCCAAAATCTAATTTTATTTATTTTTTTGTAAATTGAACACCGGGTCCCTTGCAATGCACAGGGCAGCTGATCATTGTGGAGACTTGTAAATAGTGCATGTGCAAAATATGTTCTATAAGGATGATTACGAATAATTCATGAGATTTTACCAAATTACCGTACAGTTATAAAATTGCACCCAGAGAGAGAATTTTATAGACCACCAACTTGAGCCCACCTTGGTTGGGACTGAGGGGAAAATGTTATCATTATGGCACCTTTAGATTGCAGGAAATAGCACTCTCAGACTTAAAATGCTATATCTAGAAAAATAATAACCAAATCACAATTAGTATTTTAAATAATATGGAAGACAGTGTATTGCGAAAATGAAATGAGATGCTTATTCCTCAATGAATAAATAAAGTGCAAGAAACATGAACACAAAGATTCTAGATTCAAAAACACTTCATTGTCCATTTTAAAGTAGGAATTTGTTTTTTCTTTAGTTGAAAAGGATAAAATTAAATGAAAAATCACAAGACAACTTATCAATGACGAGAAATGCGTTAAGATATTAACAAGTTATAATAGTAAATTAGTAAAAAGTCAAAATAAAAATCACTGTTTAAAATTTACTATGGGTTAGGGTTAGGGTCACGTGTGCAGGCAGGACGCGACAAGGATCTGCAAAAACATTCTGTATGGGCAAATTGCAGACTCACCTCGTCCCTGTGGTAGACCAAAGCTCCGTTTTCAGGCCCGTAGGCAGTGGGGTGCAAGGGCGCGGACGCACTCCCTCCTCCAAATTCCAAAATGTCCACTTTTTAAAACCTATGATTTCACAAAATCGTTCCTAATTATCACAAAACGCTATAGCATGCATTGCATTATATAATAAATATAAATGTTGTACAGACGATTGTCAGGTTTAAGATCGCCGTAATACATTTTCAGCCTATTGTTCTTTAATATGCTAATTACGCCTTGCTTTATTGCTCACTTGATTGTCGTATGCAAATTTCGTGGTACGCTATCGTTCACTGGTCGTATATTCTTATGCAAATTGTGTGCTACTTTCTCTGCGGAGGAATGGCTGTAGCGTCGGATGTCGTCTTGCGTAGCGATATCGGCTCCGTAGTATATAATAATTCCGTGCTAAAGCGGTTGGGTTGGTTGAATTTGAATCGGTTGCGATCGGTGAGCTCAGTCGGTGTCTGTCTGTCTGTCTGTCTGTCTGTCTCTGTCTGTCGGTCTGTCTGTCTATGTCTGTCTGTCTTTATCTGTCTGTCTATCTCTATCTGTCTGCTGTCTCTTATACACATCTAGATGTGTATAAGAGACAGGATTAACTTGCAGTGGGAACATGTTAGCTGGAGTTAAGTGTAATCAAAACGTCTAGCAGTGATTGGTAGTTGACGCACATTAGCCGGAGTGATGTGAGAACTAAGAACAATAACTTGTTTCGTTACATCTGGAGTGATGCATCACAACCACGTATCGTATTGCACCACGTTATTCATTTAATGAAATACATGTTAATGATATTAAATATATATACGTATTGAATTAATATTATATGTATAGACCAGTTATGTGCATAAGCTTAGATGATATTATAATGCTTGATTATTTGATGCATTAATTGATTATTCATGTCATATTGATTACTATGAATTAATATTTATAATATTTTGTATGTAATGATACTGTTTAGATATACGCTCACTGATTTGCCGAGTGTGACTCAGTTGAATTAATTGATTGATTGATTGACTTAATTGTATTGGATAGTTATGAGTCGATATTATAGCGATTATTGTGGAGTGTATGTAATTAAATGTTGAATATAGTAATTAATTGTGTTGGTCTTTGTTATTGTGTTTGTGTTATCCCCAGTATCACCAAGTTCCAGTACCTTGTTGATTGTGAAAAATATTTCGGCACCATATGATCGTCTCTCCGAAATTAGAGGTGACAACGAACATTAGTTAAGTGTGCCTTCTAATTCTATGCCATATGTAAGTTAGAAATTCTATTTTACAGACTGGAAAAAAAAATTCACTCTTACATTCTGCATCCATAAGATAATTTAACCAGAAAGATATGGTCAGTTCATCTGCCTTTCTTCTATTACTTCCTACTGCACTGTACTCCGCTTGGACCCTTAAACTTGCTGATGTTAGTTTATTTGATTCATCATGCAGGAAGGCTTTCCTGCATGCCACTGGATTTTCCCGTATGGTGTTTAAGACGCCCAGTTTATCAAGCCCTGTCAGCAATTTGTTTATACAAAGAAATTACTTTTGATCACATGTACAAGACATGTACCTAATAAAATATAAAACAAGCATTAACATGAAATGCAATATCAGTATGCTGTGTGCACTGACACAAACTTTGGCCATTAAAAACTGTACATCTTCTAAACCAGACCACAACAAAAATATTATCTATCATATTCAGTTGATATATATTCTGTTGTTGTAAAATTCACATAGTTAATCAATTGATACAGGTACTTGCTTTTAAATTGCTTTGTCAAGTTTGAGTTGGCAACACAAATTTTTAAAAGTTTGGGTGCTGACTGGCTCTGGACTAGCATTAACCCCGACTTTTTCTGCTTATCCCCCTCCAATGGGAAGCTTTGTATCTAATATCATTTTTTGTAATAATGAAAATATCCATAGGGGTGCGGTACTATTAATTTCTACGTCCAGCTTCACCAATGTCGAACGAACGAGCAGGAAATTTTGTACACAAACTAGTGGTTATTTCCAACAAAAAATCATTACCATTAACAAGACAGGTCGTATGGATGGCGGGGTCGGTTAGCGATGTGTTCTAGGGAATAGGGAAACCTAAGGTTGTGAGTTTGAATCTCGTCTTGGTATTCAAATATTATTTTTTTTCCAATTTTATGACATTTTAGTTTTTATTTATTTGTTTTTTATTTTTATTATGAACCCTTCCCAAAAACCCAAAATAACAACTTATGCCACTTTGTACTGTATCTAAGCATGGATGATATTTCCTCCATTAATTAAGCATGATTTAATAGTGTCAACAAAAAGCTTCATCGGAAAGGTGTATACACAAAGCGTTCAACGCTAAATGGAGGTAGCCTCAGATTATCATGTGGACTGGTGAGCGGTCGCTCTTGTTCTGTTTGGTTTCACTTCAGGATTCAAGAGTTTATGCGAGGGAACAGCTGAAGTAGAAATATAAGTACAATACAAACCTTTCTAATGCAGAGCGAGTCCTATCCAGATCCCTTTTGGGGACATCTTTGGGACCAAAAAAAAAATCCACTTCCTCATTTTGCTCGAAATAATGTCCCCTTAATAACAGGTGTCCTTTAATAGGAGAGTCCCAAAGAAGGAGTTCTACTGCATTGTGTATTTTATTTTAATTTGCGAAAAAGCAGGGGCAGATCTAAAATTTTATTATCAAAGTTTTAAAGCATAAGAACTATATTTTTAAAAATGTTTCTTCTTAAACACCAAGCACGGTTAACTTAGTCGGTAGAGAATGAGACTCTTATCCTCATAGGATGTATTTTGTTACCTAAATTTACGAACAGAGACCTGCATGTTAGAATATGTTTTTTTTTTACCATGAAATGTTTTTGCTTTAATTTTGCCTTTATTTTTAAAATTTTATTTGCATTTTGTCATGGAACTTAAATAATGTTTTATTTGTAAATCTATAGTACAGTACATCCCTTTAGGGACATCGTTGGGACCAAAAAAGATATCCCCTTTTCTTCGTTTATTGCTCTAAAGAATGTCCTCTTAATAACAAGTGTTCTTTAACAGGAGAGTCCCAAAGAAAGAGTTATACAGCATTGTCTATTTCAATATTAATTTTCGAACCAGCAGGGGCAGATCTAAAATTGTATTATTAAAGTTTTAAAGCATAAGAACCACATTTTTAAAAATGTTTGCTCTTAAACAACAAGCACGCTCTTAAACAACAAGCACGATGAGCTCAGTCGGTGTCTGTCTGTCTGTCTGTCTGTCGGTCTGTCTGTCTATGTCTGTCTGTCTTTATCTGTCTGTCTATCTCTATCTGTCTGTCTCTGTCTGTCGGTCTGTCTCTATCTGTCTGTCTCTATCTGTCTGCCTCTCTCTGTCTATCTCTATCTATGTCAATGTAGTTTATTTAGTATATAAAGGCCATTGGCCCAAAAATACATAAATCCACTGCATATTATATATTTTCTTTTCTTATCTTATATGCTAATTGTACAAAATGAGTTAATTTAAACAAAAGTGATTGTTTCTTTGTTGACATTAGTTTCTTAAACTTAAAATCATTAGGATGTGATAAATAATAATTGGGTATTAAACGCTTTCTTAAAATTTTTATATAGTGGACAAATTAAAATAAATGAAATCCGTCTTTAACCTTTGTTAAATTGCATAATTTACAGATTCGTTCTT